TGTGCTCGAAATGTGCTGCCTGCTCCCCTAATTGGAGGGCAGAGGCAGAGGATATTTGTGGTGTTGCTTGGTCTGACTGTCCTGCTCCCAGCTCCGTGTGTGGATCCTGCGTCTCGGGGGTGCAGGGATTGCTGGGCTGGGGGCACAGATGTGGAGCACTAACCCTGGTGCTCTGTGCAGATGTTGCAGCTGTGCTTGCCAGCGCTGGCTGTGGCAGCAGTGACATCCGTCCTGCTATGGTTTGGGGTGAAAAGCACTGGATTCTGGGGTACTAAATGGGTCCTTCCCTTGCAGCCCCACTGCAATGCACCCAGGACAAGTGTCCTCAGCGCCTGGGCTGTGGTTCCTGTTCCCTCTACTCATGTCTCAGGTGTGGTGGCAGTTAATGCTGGTTAATCCCCTTCTGGTGCAGGAGCCTGAGGAGGAGGTGACAAAGTACAGCCAGGAACGGGGTGTCCTGCCTGCCATGGGTCACCTCAGGCTGCTGAGGTGGCAGCAGCAGCTCCTGGGAGTTACCTGATAATGACAAAGCAACAGCAGTGGCAATAGTAAACACTCTTAAGCAGACCATAGATTCGAAGAATTATTCTTGCCAAATTAATCCACCCTTTGGTTTGTGCATCTGCAAAAAGTGCAATATAACGTTGTCAGAATTGCTTTGTCTCTGATTCTCCCCGTGTGAGGTGCTAATTGCCAAGGCATCTCCGAAAAGCTGTTTCCATGTGCATTTGTGCAGCAGATTTGAAAGGCCATGAGGATGTGCTTAGCGCTGCTGTAAATGGGAAATGTTGCCCCATGTTTCAGAATAATGACATTTTGGAAGCTGCCAAATGCAGTTTTATCACTTATAATTCAGATGATCTGTGGACTTGTATTTTTGGCTGTCATGGAGTATCACTTCATTATGTGAGTGACTTTTTGTAGAAAAGCCTCCTGGTAGGGAAACCGTGCTCTGAAATCAGTGGACTTCTTCATTTGCTTCCATGTTATCTCCCTGTCTCACTAAGCTGCTGTTGTCTAGAAGATGAACTAAATTAGCATGCAGGTCAAGCATCTATATATGTTTTAATTTAGGGTTTTCATATAGCTTATGGAGACTGCTCCAGCATCAGCAAAATAACTGTTTGGCATCCTGTCTTCAGGAGAGCTTCCCCAGGTGCAAGTGTGGGGACTCAGAGGACCTGTTTGCAGTGGGAGTGACAGATGTTTGTGGCTTTTTTCCAGGTATTGTGAGGATTTTGCAGGATTTTTCTTTCTCAAGATGAGACAAGGGAGTGTGCTCTGATCATAGTCGTGTTCCCAAGTTGAATGGGGAATTAAACATGTGTTTCTGCTCTCAGTCTTTTGAAGGTGCATGTTTGCTCTGATATAGTAGATGCCCTGGTCATTTTTGAAGTGTTTTTGCCTTATCACAGCACTGAAGTCTCCTTAGCCTGGGAGGAGCTGAGAACTGGTACATTTGAGACCTGTAACACAGGGCTCCTGGCCTTCCTTGTGCATCAGTCATGCTGATTTGGTGCATCAAATCCTGCTCTGAGGCTTAATGAAGCATCTCTCCTTGGAGGTGAGAGCAAGCACGGCCTCAATAAGGAGGGTGGATTTACAGCTAACTGCTGGATTAAGATGAAATGTGAAAAATCACTGCTAAACCCACTGCATTCAGCCAAACAATACACGGGGACTTGAACCTGCCACCGATGCCTCGTGGGCCTGGGGTCCCTTGGCTCATTAGCTTTGCTGATGACACTTAGAAATAATTAAATTAATGCCCAAGTCCTCAAAAGCTAATTGGGAGAGGATTATGCCTGGAAGGAAACCGGAGCTGCGGGGAAAGGGGACACCTCCCCGGTGTGACCTGCGCTTGCTGATTAACCAGATGCTGTTTTTCCCTCCTGGGTGACTCGTGTGTAACTGAATCCCTCGCCGTTCCCAGCAGCCAGGTTAGGGTCTCTGCACCAGCTCCCTCGGGATTTGAGCAACGGCCTCTTGGGAGCGCGGGTGCTGCTGGAAAGGGTTTGCAGAGGCAATTGGCGCCTGCTCTGATGCATCTTGATCCTGCAGGAAAGCAGAGCAGATTCCCAAGCTCCGGAACAAAGCGCTGCAGGGAGCTGCTCCAACTGCTCCCGTGCTGACCGGCCTCAATCGGAATGCCGCAGGAGCTTCCATTGCTTGGGAAGCTCCAAAGGTCCCCAGAGCCCTGGGCAACCCCATTCAACTAATATCCCAACTTCTGACAAGCAATATCCACTGTCCTGCCCCTGAACTAATTAATTTCATACATGAGTGAATTGAATGCTGTCATTTAGCTCCCTCTGCTAGCGGAGGCTTTGAAGTACAAACTGATTATGCAGGGCACAAGCTGGGAGCTGGTTAATAAGTTCCAGCGAGGTGTTCACTGCTGGGAGGCTGTGTTAGAGTAAATGTAGGATTTTACTGTTGTTTTGTCTCAGGATGCGGCTTGGAGACAAGTGGAGCAGCAGCAGAGACAAACCTGGTGGCAGGGATGGGGAAATGCTTAAGAAATATTAAGTGTTAATGCTCAGGACCTGACCCTGCCTGCAAGCCTCATTCCTCAGCTCATGTGCTTGGCCCTGCTTTGCTCCATGCAGCCTGGGTGTAGGGATGGACTGCTCTTGAATGGGGGAAATAGATGCAATTCTGCTTGACTGGAGGAAAAGGAGCTCGCTCAGGCTGGATTGGGATCTCAGAAATGCCTGGTCTGCCTTACTCACGGAATTTGTGCTCAAGTCTAGGTTTGGCCATGGGAAGCCAAGTCCTAGTCGTCATATTCTCCAGGGTTTATCTTGGTTTGGCCAGCAAAGAAGAGGTAATGGCACTTACGGGATCCTGGAATGGTTTGTGGCTATGGAAAACCCGCTCTTCAAAGAGTCAAAACAGCTGCAGAAAGATTTGTAAAGTTAAATTTAAGACTACCCAGAAAACTTCAGCAAAAAGCATTAAAAGGTTCATTTCTGACGCTCTGCAGTCTTTACTTTTCCCTCCTCGTTTCCTTCTTTCCTAATGGAGAAGGAATTTGGAAGAGGTTCAGCTGCAATTCTTGCGGGAAGGGGAAGAGGCAGGTCTCAAGCTAGCCTGCCTGCCCAAAACGGACTGGATTTTCCTGAAAGTGCTTCTCTCCCTCCCATTCCAGCGCTTGTTGGATACTGGACTCTTCCATGTAGAAGTGCCACTGAACCCAGTCAGCCCCTATTTCTCCCCCACCCTCAAGATGGGGAGGGATGTTTTTAATGGCAGGGAAAACCCCACTTAGTCCACTTGGTTGCCACAGTAACCTTTTCCCGGAGGGTTTGGTGACCCTTTTCTGGATGAAGGGAACAAAAGCAGTGGGCAGAAATAGATCTGGTCCTGCTGAGTCACCAGCAGGGAAGTGGACAACTCTTCCTCCTGAGAGGAAGCAGCAGGCCAAGAAAATCTGATGGATGAGGAGCGTGAAGCAGCTCCGGACTGACAGATCAGCCAAAGCTCCTCGTGTGGCTGCTAAATGTCTCTGGACACAGAGTAGGAGGCTCTATCAGTGGGGTCTCCTGTCCCCTTTTCCTCTCCCAGGCTGTAGGTTGCCTGTCCATGCTCTGCTCCAGCAGCTGGTCAGCCCTGCTTTGGGAAGGGCCCTTTGGGAAGGGGTTGTGGTCCCGGGTGTCACAGGGATGAGCTCATGCCAGCCTCGCTCTGCTGGCCCTGGAGCTCTTCCCTGTGCATCCATGTGCCCAGAGCTGGGGCTGGGGGGCTGCAGTGGGGCCTGGATGGGAGCTGGGAGGCGCTGGGGGCTGCGTGTGCCTGGCTGGAGGTCTCAGGTGCCTTCTGGAAGGGGTTGGCCTTTGCCATCGCAATGACGGGGCAGTTTCTTGCCTGCCCAGACCCCAGGGACCCTGGAGGTCCCTTTTCCAGACCCCCAGCACAGGAGCCTTGTCCCTGGGTGAAAATTCCCTGCTGTTCCTCCCAGCCACGCGCATCCTCTGAACAGAAGGGCAGGGAGAACTTGGCTCCTTTTGCCTCAAAAATCAAGGCTTGAGAAGTGAGAATTGTCGCAGTTCAGGCTCTGCAACGCGTGGCTGCGAGCCCGAGACTCTCATCTGCAGGCAAACACTCCCTGGCTGCTCCCCAGGGTATTTCTGCGTGTCTCCTTGGTGAGATTTCTCCTATTTCTCTCTTTCCTTAAGTGAAAGAAGGGAAAGATGCACATCCCAGGTCTCTGCTTCTGCTGCACACTGAGTCTAGAAGAAAGATGGTTGCAGGGAGATGGCTACACTTATTCTGCTTTTAACTGACATTTCAAGCTTGTATTGTCTGAGGCCTTGTGTTGTCTTAGGTCCTTATGGGTTTCCTTAATTCCTATAATAAATAGCCCTTGAATTAACATTTCCCTCCTAAGCATCTGCAAGAGGGCAGTGTGACACTTCCCTTTGGTCGCATGAAAAGCTGTGTCATAACAGATTGTTTTTTAAACTCTGGTCTCCTTGCACTAATGCTGATGACATTTGCTCCTAGTCCTTAGGTCAGCTGTCACATCACATGGCCATCAAAATGTGGCTGATGCCACTGGGGGTCAGGATTGCTGGATAAATGGGACTTGGCACCGCTTTCACACTAGCGAGCTCCTGGCCAAATCCCTGCAAACGGGGCCCAGGTCTCTGCCCTGGGAATGGTGGCTGGGACATTCTTCTGGTCACGCAGAGGCAGCCAGGCATTTTGGAAGTGATTGGGCAATTTTCACCAGTTTAAATGATTTGATTGGGATTGTTTTGTGTGTTTGCACATGTGAAGTGTCTGGAATCTTTCTTGTGTCTGGCAGAATTACAGTTGGTGAATGTTTGTACTAATCTTGCAGTCTTCCTATTTTTATTTCCATACTCTGTCCATACATTGCTTTCCCCTGCTCAGAATAAGATGGGTAATCTCCACAAACCGAGAAGGGCTAGGGTTATTTCTACAGCGCTCCGTGCCCACACCATGCCAGGCTGACTTCTTTTCTTTTTCTCTACCTTCCGAAGCTCCTCATAGAGGCTGCTGCTGCGGGAGGACATGGCAATGTGAGCAGTGTTTCCTGAGCCAAACAGCAGCATTCCTTGTCCCCTGCTGGGTGCTCAGGAGTGGCTCCACGCTTGGCCATGTCTTGCAAAGCAGATCTGGCATTCCTAGGCGAGCTGATGTTTTTAGCTGGTTGGAGCTTTTGATGGATGTTGGCACATTGGATTCCTTGTCCAAGTGTTCCCAAGGAGACCACATACGCAGCAGTCTAGGTGGCTTATAACCTAAAGGTGGATGACTCAAAATATTGGTGTCTTTTCCTTTGTTTTCATTGATAGGGGACTCTTGCTTTTTCACTTGCTGTCTTCACCTTTCTTGTTATCTGAATTAAACTCCCTGTGTTGTGCTGAGGGACCTCTCTGTCTTTAGGCTTGGCTGAAGTGATAAACTTGGTTGGACTGTCTGTCATCACTCTAAGTGGAAGTTTGCTGAGCATAATGCCAGTGTCTCTTATTCTGGGGGCTGATGCCAGTTTGTGTGCCCAAACCTGGAGCTGAGTGACCTGCAGGGCCCTGGTTCTGAAGGGGGCTTTGGGCCTATCCTATCTAGGCTGGCCTCACAGCTCTTGGGGCCTCTAGCTGCACACACCGGGTTCTGATTTAAGCCCAAACCTGCTCACAGCACTTGCCTTGAAGCCTGGCATCCTTACACTCAAAGCAGCTTGTTTCCCACTTGAACACTGACTGCATTTACTGCCTGCGCCTCTTCCACTGCCAATGCCTGCAAAAGCTGCCCAGGTTCTGCAAGCACAATGCAACGAGCCAGGACAATTCTTGCTGAAGCTCTGCTAGTCTTGGAGCTAAACATTCCTGTCTTAATTGTAAAGTATAAATGAGTAGTTACTGCAAAACCTCCAAAGGTCCCTTTGGTCCTGCAGCTCCTCTGCTTATCCAGGCACTGCTGGAGTGTAGCTTCGGTTCTGGGGTGCAGACACATAATGAGAAGAGACAAAGCAAAAGACTTGTCTGTAATTCCCTGAGTTTGCCTTTGTGTGTAAAACTCAGAGGTGCCTAGAAGGTACAGGAGCATGAGATGTACCAGTTTACCTCCGGCTTTATGATTCTAAATTGCTCAAGGTGAGATTTCCCAAGCACCTGTATTCCCAGCACTGACTCCTCTGTAAGTGGAAAATTCCTATCCCAAAACAGACCATATGCTAGAGCAGGATGGACTAAGGAGCCTCTGCCATGGCGCAGCAGGGAGAAGCCTGTGTGGCTGTGTCTCATTGGAGTGATGCTGGCTTAGTTTTAATTAGCACTTTTCCACAGGAAATGATCTCTTGCAATTCTCTTGCTGTGCTCAAGCCTTGCTATCTGTGTTGCTTCATATCTGTCTGCTAGAATTTCTGCGTTTGTTGGTGTGTGGATGGGGGTTTGAGCTGTGTTGCTGATTTCCCTAGCGCAGTTGTGCCCAGCCATGTGGAGCTGTCAGTGTCCAGGTGACAAAGTGAAGCACCAGGTCGTGTTGAGTTTAGATTTGACCAGTTATTTTGCCCCACATACACACTGCTGTCCAAAATGAGACATGCTCTCCAATGAAAAATCAGTAAGGTGGAGCCTGCCTTTAAGCTTGTGTGGCACATGCAGTGTGACAAGGGACACTGCAGATAGCAGAGTGGCTAAGATGTCCCCCAGCAACAGCTGCTTGGGAGTGTTTTTTCCCAAAGGGTAGCACAGAGCTTGGAGATGACTTCCCAGGAGCTGTTCAAGGCAGCATCCTGCCCTTCTCTTGTCATCACATCCTGCCTCAATCAAGCAGCACACTTTGGTTCTGTGAATGTTGTACTTAAATGAGTTTGGAAATACCTGTTTTACTTGTAGGATTTCTGTGGGTATTTGGTTAGAGGCTGTACTGAGGTTGGACACTAGAACAAGAGAAAAATCCAATAATGC